GAAATCAAGTTTGTCATCTTGCTGGTAAGCAGCACAGGTACTTTACGGCCTCTCTTCCCTCTTATCATCAACCTGGTAAACTCATGACTCAAATCTTGTTCCAGTTTTGAAAGGCACAAACATCTTGCAGCATCTCAACTTCGCGGTCAAGGGACTTGGCAGCAAATAAAAATCTATCCAACTCTCTCATCATTTGACTGACATGATCATCTTTTGATTGATCACTCCCGTGTTTCTCCAGCAGTCTATCTCCAAATACACATATGAGAGGGTCATGTCTTAATTCAAGGGACACCTTGTCAATTACCATTCTCTTAACAATGTTTGAGCATCTTTCTGATGGCTGACCTTTGTATGGAAGGAGAGCTGAGGCAGCAGCTTGAATTCTTTTTTTTCTGGGATTTAACTTCTGACTTGAACATTGTTCTGCGACACCGTTTCTCATGTTTCCATAGTTCATCTTTTATGAAGCACCCATAGCAAATGTTGCATGGCAAATAATCTTCTGCATTTGCATGTTTTGATGGCTGTCTATAGGTTACTATCTCGCCTTCACCCTTCTGCAACACCTCAATGTTATGATAATTTCCCTTCCTACGAAGTTGCTCAAATGTTTGGTGACTGTCAGGTTTGCCCGGCTCACCTGCCTTTCTCACTCTTTCTCTCCTTCAGCCCCTGCTTACACTGCCTAGCACACCTGCTCCACATCCCCTGATTATCACCAGCTGCATTTCATTAGTCCTATCCCTACTTATACCCCGCTCACCTATCACTCCCTTGCCAGTTTATTCTTGTTCCTCAGGCCCGTTCGATTGTTGTTTTTTTCTTGTATTTGTACCATTTGTTTCTCACCCTTAGTTCGCCATTCTCCTCCCAGTATGATCTTCCACTCTCCATCGCCGTTTCTCCTTCTGCTGTTTCCCTCCTCCACGGACGTCTCCTCCAGACCCTGGACCTACTCTGCCCTTCCAGTCTCCACCATTTCAGCTCAATGCACAGTCTCCTTAACTCACCTGTACACCCCCTGCCTTCTTTTTCCATAGCCACCACCGTCTCTTCTTCGACCAGCTCAGGAGTGACCCCAGCATCCGCAGCCCAGCCTTCTCCCATCCATCTCACCACAAACTGGTTTCTCTGCTGCTGATCGACACCCGGTTACTCTCATCATTCTACACTTACTGGTTATCGTATGAACTTGTTCACATTGCACTGTAAATAAATTTAGCACTGCTTGCACCGAAATCAGCTACCTGGGTCCGCCTCTCTTTACTCGCTCTCCTCCATGTCTGAGCGGACATAACAGAATAAACTGGCCAACATGGACCCTGCTGACTCTGGTGCAAGCAGCTTACCATCTAACGCTCACCATGACGCACAGATGGACAGAATGGCTCAGGCACTGCAGCAGCAACAACGTGATATTTCCACTCTCACTCAACAGGTAGCCCAACTCACCGCCATCATGCTAACACAACACAAGCAGTCTGCAACCCATCCACGCTCAGCCACCTGTTCTGCCAGTCCCCGCCCAGATCCTCCCATACCTGAACCAGACGTTTGACGGTGATGCCAAAAAATGCCGGGGTTTTCTGCTGCAGTGCCGCCGGGTGTTCGATCAGCAACCCCGGACTTTCCACACAGAGAGAATATCAGTTACGTCATCAACAGTCTACGAGGTAAAGCACTCATCTGGGCTGAGGCTGCGGACACCAGTGGATTACTCATCGGTACCACCATCACAGACTTTCTAGAAGAACTACGGTCTGTCTTTTTTCCACCATCTCATCAGAGCCAAGCTTCTAGGGAGCTTATGACTATCCACCAGGGAGCTTGTCACGTTTTGGACTACTCCATTGACTTCCGGGTTTACTCGCTCTCCTCTGTGTCCGAGTGGACATAACAGGCGACACTTCTTTGATGTTGATGGAATACACATTGCTAGGGCCACTTCTGTTTCACTGCTGTGTTTCCGCTTCAGATGCCATGCCATTTTACTTTGTGGTTTTTTGCAGTATACACAGTAATGACGCTTGTCCCACTTTCTTTTTTGACCCTTGTGGCAGGTTTTCACTGTAACCACTGTCCTACCCTCATCCTCATTGTCGCTGCTGTCATCAGGATTCCCAACATTGCTGTTTGCGTTGCAGGGGTCTTCTTCAGATGGTGGGATATATTCACTTTCCAGGTCAGGAATGGATTCTGACAGAGAGTCATCTGTGGCACAGTCCTCCTGAAAGAACAAGCAGATTAGAATAGTAGTTATTCAAATAATAAACCTATAAAGTTTTGCAGTTGGGCTGCATTGCTGTAACCCATAACAAAATAAAAAGCATAAATATATACATACCAATTTCTCTTGTGCCTTCCTTTTTCTGTTCATCGGCATATCTTCAAAGACAATTTAAAAGCTTTAACTTGTGAGCCTCTATTTAAATAAATAACTCAAAGCAAACATTAGCTTAATAGCTTCACAAATACTAACACTGGAGAATGAGCCAGAGGACTAAACCAGAATTTAGTTTCAAACCAAAACAACTAACTAGTTTCCTAAATCTTACCTGGACAATTTGCAGTTTTTTTTTTCTTCATCATCTAATTCAGCTTTTACGGTTCTCTCCTCGCCGTATCTCTCAGTACACCCATTGTGGTGCTTCCGCAGTGTTGAGGCATGCATTTAATGCAACATTAGTTGAAGGTGAGCCTCAAGCTCCAGGTGTTATAAATATTGCTTTATTCCCGCCCACTTCTAAGCTGCCCTGTCTGCACCCTTTTAAAGACACAGGCAGTATTGCATGAATTCAGCTTAAGCAGTATTTAATCAGAGCATGATACTTTTAGAGCACAAGCTGGCACACATTTTTCTGACTTTACTCTCTGTATGTGGACATCTTCTGAAACTTAGACAGATCATTCTTTAGGATGAAAGGAGCCTATCCTAGCATTTTCCTTGTGTGGACCGCCCAAAAAGTCCACACAAGAAGAAATGTCCACACAAGAAAAGTGTTCCGTCAGGGGTTGGTTCGCACAAGTATATAAAGACAAACCCACACACACACACACACACACACACATACATAGTATTAGGATTTATGTTTTACTTTATTATTGATCATTGTTGCGCCTAGTGACCCATGTACTGTACAATATATGTGTAACTCTTTCAACAGCACTCCTGCCACTAAGTTGCCTACTCCAATTGGAATAAGTTGCCGTTTGTAGTCTACACTACCATCTTGTACATGAATAGTGTGGCTGTTTTGAATATTTTAGGAAATATGTGTATTGGGCTGCCTTATCAGATTCAGTAATTATTTACTACTATTGGAGCCATCAATTAAAGCATGGGCCACCCTAGAGTGCAGTGTTGTGGGTGATCTGAACTCACCCAAAGCCTTGAACCATTTTATATAAGGTGAAGACAAGCCATATGTCACATTACATAAAGGTATGTTTGCTAATGTTCAGAGTTGGTAATGAGGAGTATGAGGCTGCAAGGTGGAACTTAGTGCTGCATAACACAAGTATGAAGTATACAAAGAAGCATTTTGACATCTTGTGGGGGAGACTACCTGTTTACTTTTGTCTTTGCTTGACCTCTTAAGAGGCTGGTGTCAAAGGAGAGAGAGAGAGAGAGAGGTCTCTTTCCTATGTAGCGGCTTATGTTGTCCTCTGTACTGCACATTAATCTATACAAATTACAAAGAATTTTGTGCACTAGGATCAGATGAATAAGTTGTGGACATGTGTGAGTCCCTTTTGTTCTCATGTGATGAAGAGACATCTGTTGAGCTGAATCCTTTGTTGTGACAGAGATGAGTTCAGATCCTGGAGCATTTGACTGTAAATTTTATTATTACTGAAAAGAGGTAACTGACCCTGCTAGACTTTGATCATGATGGTTGACAGTGACTACGAAATTGTTTATGAAAGTGATTACTTCCTGTAGGAATATTGGTGGATCTTCAATGAAAAGTAAGATATTGTCTACTTATACATTTATTTTGTGTGCAAAGTCTTCAAAGTGAGTTCCTTCTGTATTATTTTGTCTGATGTTTTTGTCAGGCTTAGATGTTACTGATTGTATGGTTCTATGAACACTCATACTGGATGTGCAGGGAAGCTGGTATGTGGTAGGTGGCTGTGGGAGTCATGTCAGGCTGTAAACAAGAAGTACTGAGCTGCGCTGCAGGGCTGAGAGAGAATGGCAGGGAGAATTACTGGCTGGCAAAGTGACAACAGAAAAACATTATGCAAGTACCGTAATATTAAGGTAGTAGTGATGACATCATGCAGAAAAAGCCAGACATTTTCTGATTCTTCACAAGCCAAACAGGCAAGTCTAAAATATTTTAAACCACTTTATTCTTGTTGTGATTAAGATTTGTCCAGGTCATTTTTCTTACCTACAGTTTTGTTACTAAATGGATAAATAAATGATGAATAAAGATGCCTTTCAGACCCAGTGGGAAAAAAATGACAGCCAGGTTAATTTTGTTGGCATGTGTCTGTCTCTGGGCAGCGGGTGAGTCGAGGACCCTTGCTACGTTGCCATGGTGTCCAGGAGTGCACCTTGTTGGTGACTCAGCGAATCTTCAAGTATCCTGTCCTTATTCAGCGCATTCTGGACAACACTACTGGTATATCACCCCACTCACACTAGCTTCTATATCACGCTGCTTGTTTTTACATGGCGCTATAGGATTTTGTTACAAAATAAAAGCAACTTGGCACTTCCTGGTTTACTTTATAACATATTTAGTCGGCCGTTTCTTCTTTCACCAGTATGATTGGCACCATTTAAAAATATTTAATGTGATATGATTTTAATGCTCTACAGTTCCTCCTAACCCAAAGCTGCCTCACACAGTACTGCTACACATATATGAACAAAAATACTGCAGCTGGTGCTCCAGTAACTGAAGCCAAAGAGTAACGTCTGAGTGGAACAGAAACTGTAAACCCCTTATGGCTAGAAGTAGTATAATGATGGACAAAACTGATGGTTAATTGTGGCTAAATAATATTTTGTCATCAGTTTGTTGCCCTAGCTCAATGTACTTCCACAATAACCCACTTCATTTGTTTTCCTTTCAGAGGATGAGGAGGAAGCTTCTTCTCTGGCCCAGGCTCTCATGATGGTCAGAGAACTCCTATGTTCAATAGACCAGCAGGTACGAAAGTCCTTTCTGAGTACTGTATTGGACACCCCACCCCCCATCTCTTATGTTTGTGTAACTTGGCCAAGTATATTTTCTTAGTTCCCCTTTTTGTCTCTAAATCATACATTGTCCTGTCAGCCTCCTAATGTTTTTCTATGGCTGCTCTAATAGATCTTTGACTATGTACAGCCCTACATGTAACAGGTTGGGCTATTTATCTAGTGGAGTTTACAGTGAGTGAGTTCACATTCACTGATGCTGCTGCTTTGGGAATACACATAGAGTAATGGTGGCGATGTCTTTGCCACTCCTAGTGACAGAAAAGAGGGCAACATGTTGAATTTTATGGGCTGTAGAATAGTGCGTGCTTGCTGTCACAACCCCTGCAGGAGAGCTACAACCAAACTGCCACCACTGTAATACATGTGAATTATAGTTGTGGAGAACTAAACTGTAAATAATAGGTGCTGTACTGCAGCTGCCATCCACTGCCATATACATAAACTGCAGTCTGACTCTCTCACCTTCCCCTTTTCTTCACCATGTGTCTTCCTGGAGGAGGATAATGTCTCTTTGGCACAGTGACCACAATTGCTGTTGTGAATGACACTGTTAACTCAGCTGATGAAGAGCAACAGTGTACTGTGCTCTCTGTAGGGCTGTCCAAGGCTTTTGGTATTGTTGGTCATAACGTCTCGTTAGGTGCTGTGAGTGTTGACGTTTCAGCCTGATACTGGTTTAAACAATATTTCTGAGTTTAAAATGTTGTTGGAAATGTCCAAAACACTAAAGTTGGCAGCTAGACTTGCTTGAGGTTCGTGAAGATGTTTCACCTATCATCAAGAAGTTTCTTCGGTTTTGACTGGCTGGTGGGGAGTCCAGGTACTTAACCTCTATGGAGTTGAAACGATTTATGGCACTTGGGACTTAATTCAGATTTTTCAAACCCTTCCACACTGTAAATGTTAACATGGAGTTTACAAAATAATGACTGGGCCTAACTCATTTTTTTCAATCCCGTTATCAACATTTTAATTAGTTTACTAGTACTTTAGGGTCAGAAAAGCCGACCAACTCAAGGCATTTGAGCTTGACTATGCTTTTTCTGTGCTGGGATAACATTTAACCTGGCAGACTTCCCAGTATGCACTGTTTGAGAGTTAACACTCTCCATAGACTTGTCTGTTTTTCATTTTGAAGAGCCCATTCATGGTAATACATATCAAAGTACATCATGGCTGTTTCTTTTTCTAATTATAAAAACAATACAATGCATAAAAGATTATTCTTGAGTTCAGACCCTACCCTCGTACACAAAACAAAGCCACTGGGGGCAGCCTCGCATGTTGTCTTTATACTGACTTTGGCACAAGTTATTCATAGATGAGGAAGTGACTCTTCAAAGTGGAAAATGCAAAATAAGAATGAACCTGTCCACGAATTAAATATAAGTAAGTTCTTCTAACTCACCATCGTTAAGTTTACTTAGTCTTTTTAAGTAAAGGCAACTTGTTAAATTGCTGCATTTTTAATGTTTACTGTAGGCTGTGTCTTCTTCATCCTGGTTGTCTACAGTTACCATGGATACACGTGTTGTTCCCATCTATCGTGGGGTTTGTGGAAAATGGTGTTTTATTCACACAGTGTCACTCTGCTCTGCAGACGGACTCACTCACATTTGTACTAAAATCCTCTTCACTGGGTTCGGTTTGAAGGGTGAAGCTAAATCACTGGATAACATTAAAATGGTGAGATCTCTGCAGTGAACATTTAGAGATGATTTATGGTTGACTGTCTATATCAAACCTGGAACTGATAGTTACACAAAAAGATATCCACAGCAGTACATGTTACATTATCCTACCACTGTTTTTTGTGCATAATACTCTGGATTGTAGATGAATTTGATTCATAGACCTTTTTCTTCTGGGGAGAGATAACACCAGAGACAGAACATTACAGAATGTAAGACAGTAGTTAAACAGATCAAGCGGCTAATTCAACTCCTGAACAAGAGATATTTTGCCCAGAGGAGGAAACTGTTTTACTGATCGGCACCTACAGTTTGATTCCACAGAATATTGTCCATGTCCATTCATCCATCTTTCACATTATTGTTTACTTTTTATTTGTTGATGAAAAATATGAAACATTTTGTCATTGTTCTCATTATCTAACCTTAATTTTTATTTAGGTTTAGTTTTGTTTTCATCATGAAAAGTAGGTCATCAGTGAATACTTTTGCTATAGTTTTTGTTAATCAAATTAACACTGCAGCTGAATGATTGCGACATTTCTACTTTGAAACAGCAAATTGAGAATAGGGCTCAACTGCAAGCCACACACACTAGGTGAGCAAGAAGGCAGGTGTACAGTTTATGTTCATAACTGATAGTCATTAGTTCCTTCTCTCATCAACTGATACCAATGACTCCAGCTGCATGCTTATAATCAAGCCTTCTTTTTTGATTGGCCTGTTCCCCACAACTTAGAGAATAATGTTAACCATCACTGAGGAGTCTCCTGCAGATTTTAAATGGCCCAATCTTCCTCGTGGAATAGTTGGCCCTGCCCTGTCCAGTAGAGGACATCTGTGTTCTCTTATTAGTCCTATTTGTCATTCAGTTGCAGCCCCAGATACTTAGAGCTGCAGATTCCCTCCACAGGGACTCCTTCAGTGGGCAATGGTTGCAGGGTGGGCTTCAGTCTTCAGAAGTCAGTGACCAACTGATTATTATTTACATTATCCCACAAAGTCCTCAGCAATTAAGGTCTCTGTACTCCTCCTCCTGTCCCCTCTAATACGAGCCAAAATACCAGTCTCATTAGAGAACCTCTGTAAATAGCATGACTCAGAGTTGTACATAGAGCTCTGTGGTACCCAGTGAAGCAGGTAAAGGATGCTTCACTAAACTTCTGCTGGTATGCAAACTTTAGTGGATCCAGAGCATGTCCAACCTATGGTCTAAGTAGATGGAAAACCAGGCATCCCATAGGTTTCATTAAATGCAAAGTCATTGCAGCTAGCCTGATGTCCTCTGGTACACTGGGGTGCACCTTCTTAGGTACTGGGATGAGGCAAGATTTTGCTGTACACATTAAAGGGCCTGAGCTTCCTCAGAAAGTAGTCTGATCTTTCCCCTCCTGTAGAAAGCCTCTGTTTGTGAGGTCTAACATAGTCTATTTAAATGGATTCAAATTGGTTAGGTGCATGTTAATTAATAATCTTTTTGGACTCCTTTTATTCTGTTTGGCAGATGGAGGAACTGGAGAAATCACAGCGGCTGCGAGAGGTCCAGGCCAAGCTCGACCCGCGGGCTGAGGCCCGAGTAAGAGATGGCGGACTTTTCAAGCCTGGAGAGTTGTTCCGCCGGAAACTGGTTCATGAAGGGATCCTTTTCTGGAAAACACCAGGTTCCCGGCTCAAAGGTAAACAATGCAGTAAAAACATTAGACTTTGTGTAAAGTAAGTGAACTTACAATATGCAGCATGGCACAGAATCTGGCCCTACACATTTCATAAAGTGAAAATAGTATTTTAGATTGACAGTCATTACTGGATACTGGATATACTGTTATACTCGCTGGCTCCCTCCCATGAGGGGTTCTTGTCGTGGCTATCCTAGCCATGCTACTAGTGAAATAATTACAGCTACAGGCCCCATTATAGCTGCAAACCTGCTAATTTAATATGGCTGACATAGTTGCTAAGAATTGCACATTGTCAAATTACTTTGAATCAGCAGCAGCCGGTTGCAATCATGGTGGCCAGCAACAACCTATATTATACACAACAGGCTGCTGCTGTCACCTACTATAATCTCATCATGTAGCTAAAAAGAGCAGGTTGTATATTAAAATAGAGCAAAAAGTTAGTACCAACACCTGATTGAGTGAAAATATAATATATACGTATATGTTTAGCTAATATAAAATTATTTAACCAAGACCGGATAATCAGACTTTGAAGCTGATGCTGTTCCAGCACTATTTCTCTTCATTAGTATGTATCACTGTAGTTTATGTGACTGCCATGTTCACATGGTGGAAATGTGGCAGTTATGAATAGTGAGAGGTGCAGGTAGGACCGGCGGATTTGCCGCAGCCCAAATGCCAGCTGAAGCACCCAGGTTGAGAGGACCATGTGACGGCGGCAGGAGCCAGTGTTTGAAAGAGAAGTGAGAGAAATGGATGGTGAGTGGGCATACAGACAGGGCTCAGCCGTTCGAAAGGAAAAGTGGAAGAGGAAGTATGGAGGTTTGAGTGGAATAAATAGTGTGAAAATGGAAGAGGTGTAGTTTCGGATCAGGTGCATTACTGTGTTCATTTGTGGGTATAGTACATGCCCACTCATGACATCAATGTCATCACAATGCCAGTTCAGGTCCGTAAGACATCTGGTTCTCACTGGAAATAGAATTCTAGGTTCCTATCCAACCTAATTTTGGTCAAAATGCTCAGAACTCAGTTTGTGAATGACACCTCAACCATTTCTCTATTAGTCAAAAAGCCCTAATGATGAACTCAGACCAATATAAGATTATTCTACACACCTGGGACAGTTCACGAAACAAGAATAAAAGACACCTTTTTAAACCAACCCAGAGCCTTATCTTCTATAGGAAGGGAGAGACCAATTTATCCAGGCCTAACATGATCAACATTATCAGACTTTGTTTAAGGGGAGTCTGGGAGTAGGTATTCACATGCTGCATATGTTCTTGTTAAAAAAAAAAACAGCACCTTCACTGTGTTTTGATGTGTGGTTGTATATGGGGGCGACTGTGGTTTGGTGGGTAGAGCAGTCGTCTCCCGGTCAGCAGTTCGAATCTTGGTGCCTGCGGTCCATGTGTCGAAGTGTCCTTGGGCAAGACAATGAACACCCAAGTTGCCCTCGATGGTTAGAGCCATCGGTTGAGTTGGCGCTGCAGGTGGCTGCCTCGGTTCTGTACCGGAAACAAATTCCTTGTGTGTAACATACTTGGCCAATAAAGGTGATTATCCTTATTCTTATTGTTTGTGTATGTAGATATCCAGGTTTTATTGATGACAGACATCCTAGTGTTTCTGCAGGAGAAAGACCAGAGGTACATCTTTCCAAATATGGTAAGAAAAAGAACTCCCACACATACTGTGCACACTAAAACTGAACATTTGTTGCACAGATGACCGGAAAGACAACTATTCATTCCGTCACCTTTCCTCTGTCTCTGTATTGTTTTCTGCAAACAATCCACTGTGGTGGGATCCAGGACAAACCTCCAGTACTGTCACTGCAGAACCTGATAGTGAGGGATATAGCCAATCAGGAGAGAGGCATGTTCCTCATCAGCGACTCCTTCCCTCCTGAGATGTATGAGTTCCACGCTGCCTCCAAGGAAGACAAGAATGTCTGGATAGGTCACATCCAGCGCACCGTTAGCAAGTGGGTAAATGCACCATCACATGCAAACACAATGAAAATGGAGTCCACAGCCATATGGTTTTATTATGACAAGGAAAAACAAATGGAATGTCTACAGTATATAGTACAGGCTACCCTCATTCTTCCATCTGGAAGGTTTGCTGAATTCAAGGATTTGATTTAGAGGCATTGGAAATGCCTCATTTCTCCACTATGTCCAGTTTTGCATTTCTTTTCCTAACAGGCATCATTCCAACTATGAAATGCACACTTAATACAATTGAATACATTTCTCATTTTGATCACCTTCCACATTCATTCTCAAGCTTGTGGGGCTTTACCAATGTGAAGCTGACCTACCATGTTCCCTAGTTGGTATGTAACAAAAGTGAATTGGTGGCAGAATCATGAATGCCCGTGGGGAGCAAAGGCTAGCCTGTGTGGCCCAATCCCACAAAAGAGAGCTACTGCAGAACAAATTGCTGAAAAACTTGTGAATTGTGCGTGTCAACTGGACCATGGAGCAATGGAAGATGGTGGCATGTTCTGATAATGAGGTTTTTTTTTACATCACGAGGATGACCGGCCGTGTATGCATCGTTGCCCTGGGGAAAAAGATGGCACCAGGAGGCACTATGGGACGAAGGCAAACCAATGAAGGCAGTGTGATGCTCTGGGCAATGTTATGCTGGGAACCCTTGAGTCCTGGCATTCATGTGAATGTTACTTTGACACAGACCACCTACCTAAACTTTGCTGCAGACCAGTGGCCTCTTTCACTGTTTATCAATGTAACATATTTAGTATGTTATGTCTCATCAACTGAAAAATAAAAGCATAAATGCTAGATGACGACCAGAGCTATGGAAGTAAACCCCAAGTGTTAATGAGCCAGAGTTTATCCTTAAGACATGCTGTCGTCTGTGTTGTGTATTGTTGTTGCTGTATGTCTGTCCTTTGCATCAATGTCTGATATGTATTAGTAAATTTTTGCACCCTAATAATTAATAAAACATATGTAAAATGTATATGAACAAACATTGTCCATAAACATCACATCAGTAGTTTGAGGATTTGTATGGTCTGTGCTTTTCTGTCCAGGTGCCCATCAAGAGAGGAGTTCCCCCTCATAGAGACTGAACACAAGGCCCATCTGAGGAGACTGAAAGGTCAGGAGACTAACATTCCTGATGCAATCAAAGGAACATTTTCATATGGCATTTTACTGTATGGGCAAAACACAGTGCCACACCAGTGAGCTGGTGACTTCCTGCGGTGCTCAGATTATTTCCTTGACTGCAGTGGTTTGCTACTGTAGGGGTCAGTGAATTCAAGAAAAAGATGGAGGAGGACCACAGCCAAACACTGATTCAGAACCAGCCCAGGGGTCAACTGACAGACATGTAGGCTGCAAACCCAGAGGCAGGAAACCGTTCGTACTGATATTTTAACATAAATCCAAACTAATTCAAAACACAAAATTGGAATCAGCTATAAAATAGATGTTTTAATACAGACAAACATTATAACTGTAGAGTACAACAGCTATATTAATGTATTGTCTTGTGCTGTTCAAGGGGTCTTTACATTAGTACTGTTCACAGACTCGGCCATAAGATGATGACCATTTTATCATTTTCAGATCAGATGAGAAACACCAAATGCTGACTTTCCATTTATATGTCAAACTGTTTTTTTACATTTTATCCACCCTCTATTTTACCACAACAGTCAGGCATTGACAAATTAGGCATGGTTTAAATAGTACAAAGAAGAGCTTCATGTTTGACAAATTATTGGGTGGTGATTAACATGAACTGACATGTATTCTATTAATAACATGTTCACCTTAAACCACAACACATTCCACTCCCTTGCATGATGTCCATTAGCTGCTTTCAACAGTAAAAGTATTATTTCAGTATTGGTAATCCTGGTCTTTTATTGGATTGAAACCAAATTTGTTGGCATTACCTACTCCTACAGTAAATGGTCTTATACTTGTACAGTGCTTTTCTATGCATTGCAACACACTCAAAGCACTTTCACACTTCTTGGCCATTCAAGCACCGGTGTCCTCACCGGGAGCAATTGGGGACACTTTGACTTGTGCACTGGACAAGCCGGGAATTGAACCGCTAACCTTCTGGTTAGGAGATGACCCGCTCTACCTCCTGAGACACAACTGTCCCCAGTGCACTCACAGGGGGGACACAAATAACTGATAGTGAACAAGACTATGAGAAATCTTAGCTGCCAAGGTTTTCAGGCAAGGGGTTTCACAGAAACAGCAGAAGAAGAGCAATATAAAAACAATGATCACACATGTAAGTAATTTGAAAAGCCACTATCCCCACGCTCTGAAAACACGCTTCAACTGGTTCATTAGTGGATATTATTATGGCTTTATCCCCTTTATTTTTTCATTTGTGTAATAATAGGTAATATTATCAGAAAGGTTATCTTATGCAAGAATAGAAGCACAACCCCCTACCACCTGAGGAATTGAGTATTTAGAGACTCAAATGCCCCTAAGACCCTATTTATGAATGAATCAATTTGTAATTAATTAAACCAGTCAGTAAGCATGAACGCTACACTTTATAAAGCTTAAGAAAGAACCGAAAAATACTGCAGCCCTTATAAATATTCTAAGATCAATGTTTGTTTCCCCTGTTGAGCACAGATACTCAAACCTACACCCTGCATTCTCAGTAAACGCTGTATTCTCACAGGGCTACATAGCCCAGTTTTCCAGGTAAATATTCCAACAAAACACTTTAGGGCCAGGAAAAATGGGCCAGGAATGTTTCCTGATGTACAGTAAGCACTTGTTAAGCATCATCAAATGACATTTACTCAGCATCACCCTGGGGCAAGGAAAGCCTATCTTTGTGCAAGGCCAGGAACCTACCTAACAAACTCTGAATTGTCAAGTGGTATGAATTCCTCTACAGATGTGTGGTTATGTTTTCCTTTTCCATAACTTACGACAAGTGGTCTAGACCTAGAATAGACAACTTCTGTTTTGGTTCATATGCTCTATTGTTAGGAAATCTACCTGTATAACTCTGGTAGTAGTTATTGGATTTTCTTATAGGAGTACCCATACACCAGCAGGAGGTTCAAAGTGTTTATTTTGTCATATGCACAGTTAGTAAATGTGTTTCCCTGTACAATGAAATTCTTACTTTGCCGTCCACCTGAATGCCACAAAATACAAATGAAATATAAAGTAGATAAATAAATAACACAAAATCTAAGGCACTTTAAGCAGCGCAGATGCAGCAATATACTAGAAAAAAAAATATACAAGAATATAACAGAATGTATGCTGCATGGGAGCAGCATGTGCAGCAGTCAACAGTCATTGTGCAATTATGCATGTGCAAACAGAATGTAAACAGTACATCACGTATTTCCTGGTAATAAACTCCTCAGCTGTTTAGGAGTCTGATGGCAGAGGGAAAGAAAGTTTTTCAGTCTAGTGGTCCCGCATTTCACACTTCTGAACCTCCGGCCAGAGGCCAAAGAAGTGAACAGTCCGTGCTGGGGGTGGGTGGGATCTTTGAGGATGGAGGCAGCCTTCCTACGCACCCTGCGGTGGTATGCTCTCAATGATGCAGCTGTAGAAGTTGCAAAGGATCCTAGGCGACATGCCAAACCTCTTCAGCCTCCTAAGAAAGTACAGCCGCCGTTGGGCCTTGTTGACCAGCTGTGTGGTGTTAAGTGTCCAAGTGAGGTCCTCACTGATGTGAACACCCAGGTATTTGAAGCTGCTCACCCTCTCCACCTCAAGCCCCCGGATGAACAGCGGCCGATGAGATCTCCTCTGCTTCCTCATGTCCACTATCATCTCCTTCGTCTTGTCCGTGTTGAGACTGAGATTATTGTCCTTGCACCATGACACCAGACCGGCCACCTCCCTACTGTAGGCTGCTTTGTCCCTGCTAGTGATGCGACCAATCACTGCGGTGTCGTCCGCAAACTTCAGGATGATGTTGTCTTTGTGGGAGGCGACACAGTCGTGGGTGAACGGGGTGTAGAAGATGGGAGGAGGAGGTACAAAGTATGCACTTTCTACTAGGAGAGTATATTTATGTCAGGTCCTGAATAGGTGTTGTTTACGGTGTGACTAGGCAGAATAGGCAGAATTTGGTATCATGTGTTGCATTAGTTTTTTGTTAGATGCATAATTAATTGTCACACACCACTCACAGCTGACCTCCAGCAGAAGGATCGAGAAATGTTGGAGCTTCTGCAAGAGAGGGTGACACTATTCTGTGAGCTGGCAGAGGTAACAAGTGGTCATGAAGGCCTACAGCCTCCCATCACTCGTTGCTTGTTCAGGGCAGACACACCCCAAGCTCCCCGTGCAGAGAAATTCCTAATGGACGCCACAACTGAAGGTAACACACCAAGTTTCACATCATCTACAAATAAATATCTGTTAGTGTCCAAAGAAACTAGAATGCACCTCCAGTCCCATGCATGCATGCACTATTGTTCACTGAAAATAATCCAGCAGAACCATTTAATCAGACATGTTTGTCAAAGACAAGTAGTAGCATATACACACCGATCAGCCATAACATTATGACCACTGACAGGTGAATAACATCTCGTTACAATGGCACCTAAGTCCCTTCTTTTTTTGCTGTGGTGATGGACAGGGTGACAGATAAGGTAAGACAGGACTCTCCTTGGACAATGATGTTTGCGGATGGCATTGTGATCTGTAGTGAGAGCAGAGAGCAGGTGGAGGAACACCTGGAAAGGTGGAGGTCTGCTCTGGAAAGAAGAGGAATGAAAGTCAGTCGTTTTAAGACAGAATACATGTGAATGAATGAGAGGGAGGGAAGTGGAACAGTGAGGTTACAGGGGGCTGAGGTCAAGAAGGTGCAGAAGTATTTGGGGTCAACTGTCCAGTGTGATGGGGAGTGTAGGAAAGAGGTGAAGAGGCGAGTGCGGGCAGGCTGGAGTGGGTGGAGAAAGGTGTCAGGAGTGTTGTGTGACAGAATAGTGTCAGCAAGAATCCAAGGAAAGGTGTACAAGACAGTAGTGAGACCAGCTATGCTGTATGGGTTAGAGACTGTAGCAGTGAGGAAAAGACAAGAGGCAGAGATGGAGGTAGCAGAGATGAGGATGTTGAGGTTCTCTTTAGGAGTGACCAGGATGGACAGGATTAGGAATGAGCACATCAGAGGGACAGCTCAGGTCAGCTGTTTTGGGGACAAGGTCAGAGAGGCCAGATTGAGATGGTTTGGACATGTGCAGAGGAGGGATAGTGGTTATATTGGTAGAAGGATGTTGGAGATGGAGCTGCCAGGCAAGAGGTCAAGAGGAAGGCCAAAGAGGAGATATATGGATGTGCTAAAAGAGGACATGAAGTTAATTGGTGTGAGAGTAGAGGATACCGAGGATAGAGTTAGGTGGAAACAGATGATTCGCTGTGGCGACCCCTAACGGGAACAGCTGAAAGAAGAAGAAGAAGACAATGGCACCTAGGTGTGGGGGGGTATATTAGGCAGCAAGTGAACATTTAGTCCTCGAAGTTGATGTGTTGGAAGCAGGAAAAACAGGCAAGCATATAAGGATCTGACTCACTCTGACAAAGACCAAACTGTGATGGCTAGATGACTGGGTCAGTGCATCTCCCAGACTGCAGGTCCTGGGTTGGGTGCCCCTGGTCTGCAGTGGTTAGTACCTACCAACAGTGGTCTAAGGAAGGACAACCAAGCAATATGGGGGCAGGGTCATGAACGCCCAAGGTTCACTGATGATGAGGCTGACCTACTATGTATTAAACTTTCAAATTTCATTCATCCTTTTCAAAAGATTTTGTTTGAATCTTTCTTATGGCTAAAAATGAGAAACATTGCACATTGGTCTCTGAGAGAAACATTCAGCAGCTATAGTGGTGATATCACACCTAGAGTGGGGTGGTTGTTGACTATCTAAACAATTATCTCTAACTTGTCCTCACAACCACAGTCTTCGCTCCTTTTACACAAGTTTTCACTGAATGATAGACCCATTTGTGCTTATGCTCACCAGTACAACTACAGAAGCAAACAGATTCACAGAAGATGCACAGTGAGCTGTAGAGTGACACGAGTGCTGACCAACTGCCACAGGGACTCCTCTGTGCACAGTATTAGGCAGGTGGTCATAATGTTATGGCTTTGTTCACTCAATCATGAAACTGTTGCCAGTTAACCTCAGCAGCTGTGAATTGTTCCAGTTTTTTAGCCCCTGTTCCAGATTTTTGTAACATGTTGCTGGTCTCAAATTCATAAAGATTTTATGTAAACTGAATATATAAAATATATAAATTTGAACATTGTCTCATCTTTATACTATCACCAAATAAATATGTAGTAAAGAGGTTTGAAAACATTTCAACAAAACTTTTAAAACATTTTTTATTTACAATTTACAGAGCATTCCAGCTTTTTTGGAAATGGGATTGTAAACACCAACATACTGGTATTCTGTGACCATTATTAAATCTGGCTCATTGTTGTATACTTCATCTTTGGTTCTGGACGATAGACTCAGTGATACAGTATAAAACAGTAGTATCTCTATAAAGATGAATTTTAGAACCAAAAATATTTACAACCACAATTTGAAGAAACAACATACAGTACCTGTTGTCTCTTCCATGTGTTACTGACTTTGAAACCGGAGACCCTGAAGGACTGTTTGCCGTCTGCTTCAACATTCACACTAACAACCCTATTACCATCTTTTTGTAACTTTAAAGCTACAGTGTGCAATTTCTTTCAAATATCTTTGTTGTAGAAATCTGCTCCCAAAGCTGTCTTAATGCAGAGAGGTGCTGTTGAAGCCTCCTGTGACCCAAACTCATTCAACAGCACTGGCAGCAGTGCAGACATATTAGCTTCTAAAAGGATTTCAGTAGGATTGACTTCTTTAAGAGATTTTCAATTATTTCTGCTTAATTGGTGAGTTTTGTTGCATTCTCACTTATTGAACTGGATTGATTGAGTTCATGCTAGTGCTACCTAAAGTTACATACTGTAGCTTTAACTAGTAGTTTGTTGCCTAAACTCAACCAAACCTTAATCAAAGTGGTGGCAGGTCAAAAAAGGTTCATTTTAAATTGTTTTTAAAGAAGATTAACATGAAAGAAAGAGTGATCTGTGTATGTCTCGCCCATTAAAATCCTATCATAAACCTGTCACAAAATTTAAAATGATCTGAAATCATACATGTATTTCAGACCAGGCCATTCTGATTGGCTGAGCTACTGCCAGTAAAACAGTGGATTGTTACATCAGTAACATAATCTCAATAAGAACCCATACATTTTAAGCTCAGGCTAGATAAACGTGTGTGTGTGTGTCTTTCCACAGTGGACAGGCTGAGTGAGCTTCTTCTGGGCTCGAGTGTGGACATCCCTCCTCCATGCCATCACAACCACACTGAAGTCTTAGAAACCAGTGAGTCGCTGAAAATCTTTCATACAACATGAGAAGATAATACTTTACTGGACTCATCATTGCTGTCTAGCAACACAAAACTATAACACTGAGCTGCCTTTCAGAAGAACACACACGCTGCACAAATCTATTGAGTCCATAAATTTAAAACATCATCATCATCAAATTCTCATTAGCTAAATAACACCATTACACACCCACACACAAATCTGCATGGTAATTTAGGTTTCACTCCAAAATGACAAATACAGAATTTGACCACAACGAAGATTTATGAACACCAAAGTCCAGCAAATTTGAAGGGAGTGGATGTAATGTGTGACCAGAGCTAAGTGGGACACAGCAGGAGCAGGTGAGGTGGTGTTTATATAACTAAGGGATCACCAAGAATATTGATGTAAATCTAATTAAATGACACTTTAAAGTCCAGGTAAAGTAGAATAAATGTGTTCTGTGTTTGTCACAACCACAGGAAAATTCCTTATTAACTGCCTAGCAAAAACTTGAATTATTAAAGCATTGGCAAGTTTGTAAAATTAGATTTCAAAATCATGAATGAAAGGATCTGAAACAATGGGGACAGGTAGGGTGAAGGCACTGAAAAACTCGTAAAACGATGCCACCTGGTCTCATGGATGTATTATATCCATTGCCTGTTCTGTTTGTGGGTGTATACGGAAAGTTGTGCTTTGGTATCCAGGGAAAGATGCGCATAGTACGCAGGATGAAAGCATAGCTAGCAAACTGTAGGCTGTAGTGCAAGGCATGGCAGCTTTATTTATACAGCACATTTCTTAAACAGAGGCCATTCAGAGTGCTTTAGAGTGGTAAAGAAAAACAGTAACAGCATTAAAAACAAACAAAACATCACCTGTTAAAATGAGATGAAATGCATAAAAAAGATTAAAATTAAACAGCCAAGGTACATTAAATGGTCTGAAAGACTCATCTTGAAAGTGGCAGAGTTGGGGCACATTTAAGGTGAACAGAAAGTTAGTTCCATCTGTGTGCAGCATAGCAGCTGAAAGCAGCTTCACCCTGTTTGGTTCTGACCTCAGCTTCTACCAGCTGAATGCTTCCTAAGGATCTCAGAGCCCTGCTGGGTTTGGAGTCTTCAAGGTTGTCAGAGATGTACTTTGGCCCCACTGAGTCATTTATAAACTAGCAGAAGGACTTCAAAATCAATTCTGTAGGTGACTGGTGGTCAGTGGAAGGATTTAAGAACAGCATTCTGAATGAGCTGAAATTGTTTAACAGGTTTTTGTTTTTTTGGAAAGGCCAGGCAAAGGACTGTTCAAGTAGTCCAGCATGCTGGAGATGAAGGCATGAATTTGTTTCTCTAAATCTTGTCTGGACATGAGACCTCTAAGTCTTGCTATTTGTTTAAGATGAGAAAAAAAGCTGATTTAGTCATGGCCTTGTTGTGAGTGGTGAAGCTCAGGTTTTAGTCACCAAGGTTTCTAACATGTGCAGTAGGTATATGTGTAGTAACTTGCAATCAAATGAGCGAACCACTGTTGCTAATATTCCAGGGCTCTGCAGTGCAAGTGCAAATGCAAGTAAAAATCTGAATATTGAAGTGCACCTGCATGACTGACTCTGAGGTCCTTGGGTTCTTAGTAGTTGTTTTTACACTGCTGAGAACCAAATGGTCACTATGATCCCACCCTTGTGCTGTTCATACAGATCAAGCTAAGGGGGTGGTATAATCACGAGCTAGCCTGTGAATTCAGACAGCAGGCCTGCATTTCGCAAGAAAGGTGCAACGCAACTCACTCTGCATCAGCTGTGTTGTAAATTTTGCACCAGTAGTCTACAAGCCAAAACAACAATGGCAGGAGAGATACTGTAAGTGTGGATGTAGCTTTGTTGGCCCTTCAAGTATTTATTTCACTTCATGCAAAATTGGTTAGCATGGTTCTTGCTATGTGTGCTAATGTCATGGGTAACAACTGCAGTCAATGCATTCATGACATCAGGAATGCTTTGACCTAGAAGTTAGAGAGAAGCCCAGAACAGTTTGAGGCAGAGAGGCCTGCAGACTTGAGAAGCTGGTGATAGTGTTGTGCATGTTGCGCATGTATAACACTATCAAGATGTAGCACCTGGTTCCAGACTGCCTGCTCACCATCCCGTTTGGTGTGCCTTTATTCTGTCTTGTTTTCTGTGTTTAAGGCACAAAGCTGGAATGGCGGGCCATTTTTGTTCTGCCTCTGGTCCTGTTAGTGTTTTGGACTTGTTTCCTCTTTGGGACTTTTATTTTGTAAGAATTTCCTGTTTTTGTCATCTCACCTGCCTCAGCTTTACTCTGGTCCTTGATTAACACACATTGCTTTCACCTGGTGCTCATTGTCTGGATGTCTCAAACCTTTATATTCTCTTAACTTCCCTCATTTGTTTGTCGGTTCATCTGCTCACCACACCCTCCTTGCTCCCATTGTTCCTGCCTCATGTTTTGTTTGCCTCTCGTAAGGTTTTGGACTCTTTCTTTGCCTCGTTTATGGACTGTGTTGATTTTGGACTTAGCTTGCCATCTTGGGTTTCTCGTTGTTCCTTTGGCTTGTTAGTTTTGTTTCATGCTTCTTAGCTCATTGTATAGCTCCCTGACTGATCTATTTAGTTGTTAGTTTTCTGTAGACATCTTTGTGTGTTGCCTTGTCAGGTTGAGCACCTCTAGTTGTACTTCTTGGGAGCCTTTGTCGAACCCACCCCTGGTTAATGGCTACACCAGGTTGGCTCAGGTAGCTTCTATTGAAGCCAGAATCAGAAATTGCTGCAAAGACTGGTCATCGAAGGATCCTCAGTCCCAGCCCAGTGTGAGCAATGCCTCAAAGTTCCAGTCTATCTCTTTAGGCAACTCTAAGCTCCTGACACCCCACCATCAGCCGCCATCTGCCAATCAATCATGGGTGGGAATCATTCTGAGCCCAGCCAAAGCCAAAGACATCTGGAAAACCCCTTCTTGTCAGCCGGTTTGCACCTCTGCTCCTCATATCCAGCCACCACAGTCCCAGTCTCAGCCTATTCCTGAACTGCAGCAACAGCCTGTACCCGAACTGCATGTTTCTTTACTTCAGTGTGCCAACAGAAACATTTGCACTAGGACTCCAGCTCCCAAGTGTCCCAAAGAGAATATCCATGAGGAGGCTTCTGTTCCTATATCCAAGTGGGTCAGCAAGGGTGCTAACACCGCCTTTGTTCCTGAACTCAAGTGGGTTCTGCTCCTGTTCCTAAGAGGGTCAACACCACACCTGTCTCTGTTTCCAAGTGGGTCAATGCTGCTCCTGTTCCTGAGCAGGTCAGTGAGGACAATGACACTGCCTCCATTCCTGTTCCCGAGTGGGTCAGCGTTGACACTGATACCTCTTCTGGTCCAGTTCCAGAGCAGATCGACCTTTCTCTGTTCTTGGGTCAACCAATGCTGCATCTCTTCCAGCTCCCCAGGGGGTCATCACCACCTGTGATCCTATCTCTGAGATGGTCAACTGCCTCAACACCTCACCTGCTCTGGCCTCCAGGTGGATCCACAATGACTTCCCCACAGTTCCTGCCCTTAGAGAGCTTTCCGAGACCAATACATCCATTCCTGTTCCTCAGAGGATCAACAAGGCATGTACCACCACTTCTGTGCCCTGGTGGGTGGATGACTTCAATGCCACCTCTGTTCCTCTTCCCAAGGGGGTTACTGAGTTCAATGCCACCTCTGCATCTGTCCCTGAAGGGATCCAGAACTCCGATGTTGCCGATGTTTCTATGCCTCAGTGGGTTGACGATGACACCACTGCTCCAGTTCCCATGCCTCAGTGGGTTGATGACAATGCCACCACTCCTGTGCCTGTCTCCCAGTGGGTCATCAGCAACTCCACTTCTGCCCTTGAGTCTCAGTGGGTCAATGTCACTGCTCCAGTTCCTATGCTTGAGTGGGTCAATGACAATGCCAGCGCCCCTGCACCAGTGGGTCATCAGTGACCCCACCTCTGCTCTTGAGTCCCAGTGGGTCGATGTCAACACCTCAGATCCGGTGTCTGTGGTCTGTTGGGTTGATCACGACACCACCGTTCCAGTGCCTGTGTCTCTGTGGGTCGAGGGTGACACCACCTCTGCCTGTGAGTTCTGATGGATCACCAGTGATGCCACCGCTTCAGTTTCTGTGGCTTGGAAGGTCACTAGTGCTGTCACAGCTCCTTTTTCTGGTTAGGCTACCGGCCTCAGCGTCTTTCCAATGTCATCCGCCAGAGTGGTTTTTGTTTCCTGCCGGGTCCTACGAACTTCCTCTGGATTGCTCTTGTTCCCTCCACTCACTACCTGTTTCAGTGGGCACATCTTTGGATGGTGGACTTTTTTGACTGTTTTGTTTTGTTTTTTTTTTGTTGTGTTGTTCCATGCAATAAAATGTTTCCAAGTAAAAAGCCAGTAAAAGTAATTTATCAAAACACCCACTAAACAAGCATGAACTTACAGAGAAGCGTTAACTTCAGCTTTACCTGCAATCATCTGTCATCGATATGTTAATGTTAGTGAGTCTGTTAGGCTGATAGCTAGTAGCTAATTGTTTCAATGTTGTTGTGATGATCAGACCAATAGAGCAGCTGCATGGTCTGCTGTGTGTGTGTGTGTGTGTGTGTGTGTGTGTGTGTGTGGTGTCATCTTCCTCATGATGTCTTCCTCCTCTGACTACTATCAACCCAGACCAGCTGTGCCACATTCACTCTTCATGTGTTCCTACAGTACCTCTGTCATCGTTAAACACACGAGCAATAAAATTTGTAAAATTTGTTTTAAAAAATAATTGAGCCCAGGAAGTTTTGACTGTGCTTCTATTTTTTTCATTTAGTCTCATTTATTCCCCTAAAAATAAATGTAAGCATGGAACCCTGTGCGCTTACAGTGTTCCAGTGTCAGTGAGCCACGCTTCCTGCCCTACCCAAAACATCCCAAACTCAAAAATAATGAAACTGTCTAACTCCACAGTTCAGTACTAGATGGTCCACAGAGTTTTCATGTATTCAGCAACTATTTTCTAACATATATGGTAAGTAGACCAAGAAATCAGGGACAAGAATATTACTCCCATAATTAATCCCGCAATGGGGGGAAATACCTGTATTTCAGCCATAAGGATCTCTGAAAAACTACTCAAATACCTAAAACAAGACAATATAAAGTATTCGAGAGGAATTTTACATATGTGCATATTTACAATGCATTTTACACCAGGATTTGAATATGCACCTCAATTGACTATTGCATAGTCCCTCACAATTTCACCTATCTTATTATCACTGCAGTGATGTATTGTAAGTCTGATTGCTGTGGGGAGGAATGACCTACGGTAATGCTCGTGTATAATGTCGTTAATAACATTTCACTGCTTTTGATTTACCTGGATTTTATATAGCTGAGCTGAAGAGTGCAGTTTGATTTCACACTTTACTGAACATTAAGTTCAAATTCAAGCTGAATTATGATAAAACCACAGCTCCCTGTCCCCTCTATTTGCTGCAATAAAACTGTCAAATAATCTTTGTAACAACTATTTTGTTTTTCCAGGACTTGTACTGAGTTACTGTTGTGTTTACCTCTGCCCAGGTGATCAGGATCTTTTGGTCAATGGAACCCATGATTTGTGTGCAGCAAAGGTGAGCTTGGGCCAAGATGGAAGTGTAGTAGGTGGGAATGAAGCATGTGATTGTGTATGCATGTCAGACCACCTTTATAGCACTGACCAGAGGTTATTAATATGTGCAGTAGAAAAGAATTTCTGGTGGTTTGGAGTCATGGGAACATTGTTGGTGGATGTAACATAAAGGAAATCTGCACTTGATGCTTCATTTGCTGAGTGGTACCATGATCCCTGCATGTTACTTGTAGACCACTTTTTTTAACCACTTGTAAAGTTCTTCTTAATTCAATTCAATTTTTTTTTTTTGTATAGCACCAAATCACAACAAAAGTCATATCAGATCATTTTTCAAAGTAATGTCTAGACCTCCATCTACAGTATCCATTATCCTGAAGAGGGTCACGGGGGACCGCAGCCAATCCAGAAAGAAAAGAGAAGCAACAAGACCCAACCAGATGGGATCAGTATATGGTCAACTATAAGCTTTATCAAAAAGGAAAGTCTTAAGTCTAATCTTAAAGGTAGAGAGGGTGTCTGCCTCCCGAACTGAGACTGGGAGTTGGTTCCATAGGAGAAGAGCTTGATAGCTAAAGGCTCTGTCTCCCATTCTACTTCTGTGGACTCTAGGAACCACAGGTAAACCTGCACTATGAGATCCAAGTGCTCTGAAACTGAATAAAACCTAAACAAAAAAGTGAAATAAAACCAAAAATAAAACATACACATACTATTTTGTTCCTGAGATCTTTAAGATACGATGGAGCCTTGTCATTAAGGACTTTGTATGTTAGGAGAAGGATTTTAAATTCTATTCTGGATTTTACAGGGAGCCAGTGGAGAGAAGCTAATATGGGAGAGATATGATCTCTCTTGCTAGTTCCTGCGAGTACTCTGGCTGCAGCATATGTGCAGATCACACTGGACATGAACAGATGCCCAGACGACCATTCACTGTCACTGTCATTTTTGTTTAAAAATATTCATTTTAACTGATGGTCTAAATTAATACCTAATGATTTTTTTATGTTCAGATAAATTACCACTTTGTCTCCTTTGTTTTTGGAATTTTGTCAGGTCTGCTCGGCGCGACCTGCCTCTCTTCTGCCTTTCTCTCTCCTGCTCGCTCTTTTTGCAGGATCAGTGCCTCAGCTGTGTCACATTTTGTAATTAGTGACTTGTGGGTTATTGCGCACAGCTGGGGCGCATTACTGTAATCACCCTCCTACCTTATTTATACCTCTGCCGGACGCTCCGCCATCGCCGGAGCATTAACGTGCATACCCCGTAACAGCCCTATAGTCGTGGTATGTATTTGTACGTCATTTCGTTTTCCATGCTGACAGTCCCTGTGCTGTGGTTCACATTTTGTACGTTGATTATACAGTGCCTTGCGAAAGTATTCGGCCCCCTTGAACTTTGCGACCTTTTGCCACATTTCAGGCTTCAAACATAAAGATATAAAACTGTAATTTTTTGTGAAGAATCAACAACAAGTGGGACACAATCATGAAGTGGAACGAAATTTATTGGATATTTCAAACGTTTTTAACAAATAAAAAACTGAAAAATTGGCCGTGCAAAATTATTCAGCCCC